TTGTATTATTTACCGTAAGGTCTTACAGTAAGTAATACAACTAGAATAATAATTTAACAAATTTCGGGAAAGTTTGGGAAAGTTAGAGGAATCGCCATTTTTTGGATACACTTACTCATGTTAAGTGAACGCTCTGAATCATACCGAGCTATCTTCATCCCCATCATTCTCATCCAAAACCTCACATTATGATATTAAAAAAAGCCTTTTTTTATCTTCTACAGAACACATTTTGTTTAAAAAGACAGCTAAGCAGTCAAAATCATAACGGCATATCTCAAGTATGATATTTAGATCCTAAAACAAAAACAGGAGCATGACCAAGCCTTATAAATTATGTCTTCCTTCCCTACAATGCATTCATGTTGCATGTTCACACTTCTTATAAACGAAAGGAGTGACGAAAACCACGACACTACCCAACGCGGTGTAAGTTTTGTGCAAAAAATATCTTATCCAATCTGTCTTGCACAACTGATACCCTTTCCTACCAACGAAGATATCCAGATCATTACCTTAAAAAGCTGTTTTGACATGAAGCCGTGATGTCGCTTGAGAGACCGCTCATAGGCTGTATTGATTACACCTACAAGATTCTCAGTCTTACTCTTGTCTGGACAGGATTTATATTCTTGCACCATCAGTGTGAGCATTTCCAGCATGAATTCTAGTCCTCTAAAAGAGCTTTTTGTATAGCATTGTACGACCAGGATTGCAATATTATTAGCAAAAGTTACCTTTTGAGCCACAAAAGGCCCTCAGTGGCTATACCCAATCTGCCACCATGTTCTTGTAAATCAGCGTCTATCAAGTCTTGCAAGTAGCGTTGTCCTTTGAGACAAGTTATCAAACTTATAACGACTGGAAAAACAACATTGCTTACCTGTTTTATCCTTTTCGAAACGGGTACGCACCTTTACAACATTACCGCTGATATCTGCTTTGACCGGTGAGAAGGCAGTGCCAAGAAAACCTGAAATAAAATTAGGGTTAGCATCCTCAGTTCAGAGACACAGAGTGAGATAGCTATAGCATAAGGAAATAGTTTTAAGATTTATAAAAACGTTCTCAATAGAAAATCATTACAAAAATGCCCCTTTAGCTGATCGGTTATGCTGAATAAATACGCCATTCCCATTCCTCATGATAGGATACTGGAGATTATGAGGTACTCCAGCAATCAAAATTAGAAAAGAGAAACACGTCGTACTTTTCCTATTACTGTAGCGTAGTGTAGATTGGGAGAAGTGAGGCGCGAGAGCCTCGATTCACAAAGGAGGTTCCTCCATACTTTAATGATTGGCCTATAGAGGGTGCATCGTGGCGCCACAGTCAAATATCCCTAATTTGATC